GGCAATCCTGCACAAAAGTATTTCCTAAAGTTTTCTTTCCTCAACCTCTTTAACTTGATACCTATTTCAATTATATTGAGTTAAATTTTCAAACAGGTGGCAACCCTCCTCAGGCATATTTTCGGCTGTAAGCCTTCTTAAAAATCTTATGTTTGATACCCAAATTACCGTATTTCATTTATTTTATCAAAATAACTGAGTTTAAATTTTCAAAGATGTGGCAACTTTACTCAAAAATATTTCCAGCAGCTATCTTTCTTAAACCTCTTGAATTTAATATCTTTCTTGTAATATATCGTTTAGTTTATCAATAAAATTGCGCTTAATTTTTTAACAGGTGGCAACCCTCCTTTAAAATATTTTCGACTGTAAGCCTTCTTAAAATTCTTTAGTTTGATATCCACATAGCAATATTTCATTTACTTTATCAATTTAACTGAGTTAAAATTTAAAAATTGGTGGCAACCCTTCTCCAAAATATTTCCAACAGATATTTTTCTTAAACCTCTTTAATTTGATACCCATAATATAATATTTCATTTATTTTATCGATGTACTGTAATTAAATTTTGAAACAGGTGGCAACACTGTTCAAACATATTTTCGGCTGTACGCCTTCTTAAAACTCTTTAGTTTTACACCCACATTTATTTTATCAATTTGTCTGAGTTAAAATTTCCAAATAGGTGGCAACCCTCGTCAAAAATATTTCCTGCAGTTATCCTTCTTAAAACCCTTTAATTTGATACCCATATTGTAATAATTTATTTATTTTATCAATATAATTGGGTTTATAAATTTTCAAATAGGTGGCAACCCTCCAATTTTTTGCGATATCATTGGTTCTGGTATTATACCGAACAATACAAAAAAAAAATTATTCACATCGGTTCAGCCGTTCTCGAGTTTTGACGACCGTGCCATACGAATACAACATTTTTATTAATATAGATATAATATATGTTACCGCATAACTTTGGACCACGTCAACCAGTTTTTTGCTTAAAAATTACTTGTTTTATAGTCATTTACGGTTTCAACGGTTGAAAAAACATAGGAATACACATACATCTCAACTTTGCATGAAAAATGAAATTTTAATCCCCAGGGGTGGTTGTAAGAGGGTGATAGCGGGAAAATGGTCAGTTGAAAATATTTTTTTGGTCATATTCGTTTTCAGCGATCCCAAAAACCTAGGGTTACTAACATTTTGTAAGCAATTTATAGTACTTTTTCAAAAAATATATTAGACTCCAAATATACATATGTATATAGTATTTTTTTAAGAAAAAGTGAAAATACTTTTTAGGTGTACATCTTTTTTCTTTCTTATGCATTTCCTCTATAAAAAAATATATTTCTTTGAAAGTATCATATGCTTTATCGCTATCAATATTTAAATTAATATAAATCAAAAGTTCTTTTTTTTATTAATGAGATATTCGCTTTATTTCTCGCATCTCACTATTTCAAAATCTTAACCCTCTCATGCCCGAATTAAAATGGGCGGGGCTAAAATTTTTTTGAGTAGATATATAAGATAGGGTTGACATCAATATTAACTGTTCAAAATTTCAAGGTCCTAGGTGTCCTGGTTCAAGAGCTACAGGATGTTGCGTATATGCAACATTGGGCAATGGTGGTATATATTTAAAAACAAGTTTATTTCTTTTACAAATGCCGTTTATTTATATTTTATGTATGATAAGACACGAAACAGTTTTTTTGGGGATTGGAACACAAGTGCACATTAGATTTGCTGCATTTACAGCTTGTTCCCCATTCCGGCCAATGATTATAACCATCAAGTCGTAGTGATTTTGGTGGGTCTTCAACATAAGCTCTTTTATAGGAATTTGATTCAGAGCCTGTAGAATCAGCTGGTGATGATGGAGCTGGTGATGCTGAGGAAGATGGTGCAGTTCCTGAATTCATTGTCAAAAGGAGTGATGATGGACGACCTCTCTTTTTGGCGACAGCTGTAGTTTGACTTGCGTTCAAAAGTTCGGCAGCAACATCCAATTGAAAATTTATAACCGGCATTTACTTTGATTCGCCGTCTGTATGTGCAATGTCTCTGCGGTACAACAACCAACTGTTTACTAAACTCGAATTTATGCACCAGTATACTATGCGCATGTACCATTTATTTGAGCGGTGGTTGATTTTGTACAATTCAAGCAGCATGTCTGCAAGATCAACCCCTCCCATGTGTTTGTTGTAACATTCAACCATACCTGGACGAGGTATAGTTATAAATTTCTTCTCTTTGCGGCACCATCTGTTGCATTCAGTCATGGGATTCTTACCTACATAATTTGAAACCAGTTGTACGCTCTTATTATCATACCAACGGCAAGCAATCAAGTTGTGCGTTGCTTCATATTTGAAATCGCTTGATCCACGTCCTCGCTTTTGAAGGATTTTCTCACTGCTTAGATCACAATTTTTTCAATCGGTTGCTTCGAATTGTACCAACGGCTTATTGAAGAAAACCAATTGTCAAAAAACAGTTTGAAATTTTGGTTTACTGGCATATTGGATGATAAAAATAGCACGATATCTGATGATATTCCCAGGCCATAAGTCTTGCACGTTCCTTCTCCAATGTACAGACTCAAATCATATATAATCCCGGACACACCAGCTCTCGTAAACATTTTGAAACCCCACTTGTGGGGCTTCAATGGCAGATACTGCTTCAAACTATGTTGACCTAAAAAAGAATTTTATTCAGAAACGTATTACATATGTTCACAAATAATAAGTTACCTTTATATGCAATCATTTGCTCATCTATACTTTGGTATTCTTCCTGTGAAATATCATTGAATTGTTTTTTTATGATGTCCAACATAGGCCGAACTGTGTACAACTTGTCATAGTTAGGCGTTCCTTTCTGAGGCTGTTTAAAATTATCATTCAAATGGAAAAAATGTTTTATTTTATCAAATCTGTTTCTTGCCAATGCATTTCCAACGGCCGCTAATTTGAAATTGGACGCCCACGCCATTCGATAGGTTGGTATTTTCGCAACAGCAAGATAAAGAAGTATGCCAACAAACCTTTTCATTTCAGGCACAGTGCATTTCAATTGTATTCCCTTTGATTGCATGGCATAAAAATTCGTTTCCTCACATATTTTCAGCCACAGTTCATCCGTAAAGAAAGTACTAAAATATTCTATGGGTTTTTTCACCGCATTGCTGCATAATTTACTTTTCCAGGTGGTCTCACATTCCATAAACTCAGCACTACTCCACTTCAAACTATTGAAATCAATTTTTTCCATTACCTCCTGTGCAACGATTTCATTTTCATTCAAATCTTCAACATCTTCAACATCTTTGCTTCCAATAATTTGGTCAATCAAACCAACTTCCACATTTTCATCTCTGTTATCTAAATTTTTCAATGTTTCCTCTATAATTTCCTCCATATTTTGATCTTCTTCTTCTTCAATTTCATCGTCAGCCGAATCATCCCAATCAAAGTTGGCAATTCTATCAATCTCAGCTTGAGTCAGACCTTTTGGGCGCATCTTAGAAAGTGTATACTGAAATAAATTATATTTTTCGAAAATTACCACAATAGACAAATGTTGCATATACGCAACACGAAAATAACAAAATTATTACAGACAAACTAAATAATATTTTCATGTAGGGTTTTTTTCTAAATACTCTCTTACCTTTCTATGTTTATGTAGTAATGTTGGTTTCAGGATGAAATAATTATTTTTATAATTTTTTTCAACTTTTTTAGAACACCGTTTTTTCGCAAAATCAATTTTTCAACTTCCCGCTCACAAATATAGCTACCGACTGAAAGCGTGTACAGCTGACTGCCAAACAACTTGCTGTTTGCTTTCTCACCACAGTAAGCTATAATTTAAAAGAAAATTCAAAACAATAACTTGAAAATAACGGGAGTTAGAGGCTCGGAAACACAATGTTGCGTATATGCAACATCGGGCATGAGAGGGTTGATAGAAAATACTCTTTCTGGTATATTCATGAAAGTTAAGGCCTGAGACGTTCTAAACAACTTTGTCAAAGAAATTTTGCCGACAAAGCCAACCATATAAAAGTTAGAAACTACATATAAAATAGGGTACAACACCTGACAAATTTCCATTTGAGGAAAAATTTTCAAAATAAAAAGTTGTATGAAGCCGTGCAGAAAACTTAAAAAAACTAATGATGCAGTTCGATTCCCCATACCCGAAATTGGATGAAACCGTCTTCTCCGGCCATGTCTTTGAAAATGTTTGAAAAAAACTATCACAGTGATATTGGCTGACGACCAACTTTGTTGAAAGCGATTAGTTGAAAGGCCGTTCAACCAAAAGTTGAATGCAACGTTGAACAATGCAAACGTTTTTTATGGTTAATATTTTGATATATGTTTTATTTTTTGATATATTTTTTATATTTTGATATTTTTAGGCATTCAAATTTTTTTTTTCGTGGAACCCTGCGTTGAGTTGAACGCAAAAGTTGAACAATGCAAACGCTGCTTTATTGTCACGCCCCTATAAAACAAAATATATTTAAAAGTAGTGTACGTTGGAGAGGAGGGTTCAAAAAATTTTTTGCAAAAAAAAACCGGAACAAAATCCGTTCAGTCTTAGCTGAGCTGTGGGGGAACATACACATTGACTGCATTTCTTTATTCATTCTGAATGTTTGGAATAAACTTTTTTGTTTATTTATTCTTTAGAACGTTCCTGATGATATGTTGACGTATATTTCAAACGCATTCTGTTTATTCCGGCTGTGAAATGGGATTATCCGGAATGTATAAAGAAACGCAGCCATTATTAGGCTTTATTTTGTAAGCTGTAAAGATGGAGATGTGCATGCTTGCTTATATGTGGCAAATAAATTTGCAATTTGACTTAATAGCCATTTTTTTCACTTTAACAAATACAGTCATATGCATATTGTACTGACTGAAATTTCTATCTCATTTTTTCCGTGTCTCTTTCTCTCTCACAGATCAATAATCAGCGAATGTCTGGCATCCTTCTTTTATGTGTTCATCGTTTGTGGGGCGGCAGCTGGCGCCGGTGTAGGTGCCAGCGTTTCATCAGTTCTCCTCGCAACCGCTTTGGCTTCTGGACTGGCAATGGCAACAGTAACACAGTGCTTTAGCCACATATCGGGTAGGTCGAAACCTTTTTTATCATAATCCATCCAGTCGCTAAATATATAAAATAAAATTTCTAAAATTTAGCTTTGAGAAAAATGGCCCATAGATTTAAAACAAATTTTCTATTGGATTAATGATAATAATAGATTGGCGCTTACACAATGTGTTATTGTTTGGCCGAGCTTCTCCTCCGATTTGAGGCGTACGCCTTGATGTTGTTACACAAAGGGTAGGGACCTACACCCATTATATCCATATTTTGTGTAAACTTTGGGAAACATTTTATAATTTATAGTCCTTTGGAAAAAGTCTTGACTACCTGGTAAAAAAACTAAAAACGCAGATTTACTAAATATTATGCCCTAACACTGTAGGGAGTATAAAAATACCGCGGTATTATAGAAGTAAAATGAGGAAGTTAATAAAACACGCGAACTGCACAAAGGTTATTCTGATAACTTTGCCGCGGTACGAATCGAATACAATTTTATTTTGTTAGTTTTTAAGACAAAACCAATAAAATGAGGGGGTATGCATTAGAAAAAACAACTTTGGTTTTTTTGGGGCAGTCTACATGTAATCATATGTACTAGACTGTGTCAAATAAAACGAATGTTTTTTTCTTGCGGTCCGATATTAAAATTTCGTTGTCGGTTACAAAAAAATAATGTCGGCAGAATTTCAGCCCTATTTCAAAGACAGTCTTCCATCGAAATTGAAAAACAAACTCCGTGTTTTTAAGAACTAATAGAAGTGATTTTTTCCTAAAATTTTTATTTTGATTTAAGATTTAAACACGAATTAAAAATCTTATCTATATAGTTAATTACTTCATGAAATTTTGTGATTTAAACAAAATAGTTTTCATACCTTCATGACTCCCATACGTATTTTAAAATATAAACATGACTTTACTTAGCAGAACAACCAAGGCAAAAAAATAAATTTTCTATTATTTTTCATTTACAAGTTGCACAAGAAATATGTGGTGTAGTGAAAATGATCGTCTTTTAGAATATTACTTGGTTCTTAATATTACTTTGGTTTTTTTCACTATATAAAACTTATGAAGTTTTAATAGTTAGTTAGTTTAATTTCGTTCAGAAATAAAACTTACGCGGTGTTATAACTTTGACCTGAAAACTAATAGCGTTTTCTTTTCTCGAACTAATGTTGCATTTATTCTGCCCTGCGCTAGGGCTGTCAAGTTTTCGTGTTCGTTTCTCAGCATCTTTACATGCATATTGCGTGCTCTTTCTTTAAAATGTGGCGCTCTGAAAATGTTGCCATATAAGAAGGTGACATTATTTTCGAGAAAAGAAAACGCCATAAGGTCAGTGATTTTTAAGTAAAACCTACGAAATAATTTTTATTGTACGATAAATAATGCTTACAAGGTGAGTTTTATTTTACAACATAAAAATAAAACTCAACGCGTAAGTTTTATTTCTGAACGAAAAATAAAACTCATTTCATAAGTGTTATTTATTGAAAGAAAAATAAAATTCAACAAGTAAGTATTATTTTGCGAGTAAACATAGAACTCATGAAATAATTCTTAAATTTGATGAAAAAGATAAAAATCAAAACATAAGGATTAAATTATGATTTTTTCGATATCGCTTATAACTGTTACGGTCCATGGCAGGGATGGAATTCCAAAATGTGTCTAATGGACGGCAAAAATAGTGCCAAAAAGGAGATGAAAGTGCCGCGAAATTGAAATTGCTTTATTTTAATACCTCTTAAGAACCACATATGTATTTTTAGAAATAGTATCTATTTTTAATGTAATTCATTGAATTATTAGAGTAAAATCATATTAAAATAACACAATATTCAAATTACGAAGGGGGAAAACACTTAAATTTAACTCTTCGGACCTGTTTACACATATACTTGCCTACGCTCAGAAAAAAATTCCTTGATGCTAAGAAAGAAGTATATTATTCTAAGGAAATATTACCTTGAAATGGCTTCAATGACATGGCTGCCTTAATATGAGTAAACGATTTGACTCAGTTTAAGGAAAACACAATTCCTTAATTTTTAGGAAAAATTTCCTTGCCACCCGTGAAAGGAATAAGTATGTAATTTTGCTCGCGGCGCTCAAACAGTGACAATGGCCGACAGGGCAAAGCTCTGGAGTGCTAGTCGAGAGAAGCAAAGTTCGAGTCTCAGAGCAGGAAGTTTTATTTTTATTTATTTTTTAATTGTAATTTTTTGTATTTAAAAAAAATTATCTAATTTATTTTTTATGTTATTTCAGTATTTAGGTTTCTCCATATATGAAATTATTTTACAATTTGTAATTTATATTTAAATTGAAATAATTTACTTACTTTACTCTAACCACCCCCAACCGAATTCGAACCTGCGATCTCAGAATCTAAAGCAATAGTCTTCACGCGACGCCACAGCCGACAATTGCCAGGAAAGCAATTAACTTTGTCTTAACAGCACTGACAAAATTCAAAATTATTTAAGGAAATTATTACTTATATTGAGTAAATTTACTTCTTCAAATTAATGACGCCTTATTTTTAAATTAAGGAAAAATTTCTGAAATTGAGTAAATTGTTCCTAATATCAAGGAAAAAACAGTAACTCAAAAATGAGGATACTGTTTTCTTGATTTAGGGAAATGCTTTTTTCTGAGTGTATGTGCGAAATAATAGCAGTGCGACATTTTGACCAGTTTTGACTATTCTTTAGATTGGAAATTTTTTATTAATTTTATATAATGGCCCTTATTTTAATTTTTTAAGTGATTTTAATTTTCACTTTTCGAATGTATGAGCAATATATCGTCATTCTGCAAACCGCGTAACTGACAGAAGCTCTCAAAAATGCGATTGCTTTATAAATAATATTGAAGAAATTGTAGTTTAAAAAACTAAAACCTCCCTATTATAATTGCCATTCGTACTGTCATCAGGTATGTAACTTGAGAATAGAAATCACTGCATCTTTTAGGCGCATCAATATTACATAGTTACATCCCGAGCTAATAAAAGGAAGGTAAAAAGAGAACCATTTTGAAAAATGAGTGCTTTTACTCTCTAATTTATGCAACCTCACATACGCGGTTTTGCATTTTGTTGATACTCGCTTTTGTACTTTAAACGACGATATGATTGTTTGTTATATACTGGCTAAACTTCTGCAATTTATGATTGTGCCAAAACTGAATGAATTGTGCCAAAAGTGCCCTTGTGAATGAAAGTGCCAAAAATGGCACTATTGTGCCTACTTTTCCATCACTGGTCCCTGCTAAAAACTCATCAATATACATACTAGTTGTAGCAAAGGTGCTCATGCCACTAACCTTAATGTTAACCTTAGTGCTGGTAGTCTTTCATTATACAATTTGAGGTTGTCTTGTGATTAATTACACTGCTCGACAGTCGGCTGGGGAGTTGATGAAACCAAATTTTTCTGAAAGTCTGGATTATACATATATAGAAAAGTAATTTGTTAGTTTTCCCAGGTAGGCTATTTTGAGCGTTTTTTTTATCATTGAAGCTGGTGGTCACAGCGCAGCATTACACCACCAACCTACCGGCATGTATTTTGTAAACCAAGCATAATTCTTATGTATTTTGAACCATTAAATACAAATCTGAAGTGTATTTAGAGTAGGGATGTTGCGAATATGGAATTTTAGACATCCGCGGATGCGAATGCGGATGCGTATGTTTAAAAGCTAACATCCGCGGATGCGAATGTGAATGCGGATGACAAGTATTTTGATTTAGGTAAATAAAAAATGCAAAATTCATTTTAAATAATGGTTTTTTTTTTAATTCAGTACTTGAATTTAAAAATTGGAATTGGGTTAAAGCCTGTTTCTTAAAGTGTCGTAAATCAAACCTGCGCCACGAAATAACTACTCGCCCAAGGCGAATAACTTGAAAAATTTGAAACTTGACAGAATTGTAAATGCTCTCCAATAACTCTTTCCTGAGAATTGCATCGGCACAATCTAGCATCATGAAAAGATCGTTGTTTAAACACCGTTATTTTCCATAGAATTCTTCATTCTCATTCTTTTGGCTGTTTCAGAATTTGGAGAACCTGTAACGTCATCAGCGATTTTCGATTATAGTTTTTATACCCGAGCGCACTTGTGCACAAGGGTATTATAACTTTGTTCACATAACGGTTGTTTGTAACAGGCAAAACGAATCGAGATAGATATAGACAAATGTATACATAAATTAAGCGGTGACTTTCTGTCCGTCCGTCCGTCCGTCTGTCCGTCCGTCTGTGCACATAATAACTCGAGTAAAAATTAAGATATCGTAACGAAACTTGGTACGTGTACTTCTTTCGGGCGTAGAACGGACGGTATTGAAAATGGGCAAAATCGGACAATAACCACGCCTACCTCCCATATAACGGTAATTTTCAGAAATACAAAAAAAACGATATTTTAGTAACTACTGAAGATAATTCACTCAAAATTTATATTTATAATAAATTTTAGACGAAAAATAAGAATATTAACATTTTTTTTTAAATGGGCGTAGCCACGCCCACTTATGGTTACATGTGTATATCTTGGTAACCGTTGCATCAATTTATTCCAAACTTGGCACAGTTGTTGGCCCTGGTACAGCATACCAAATGGCCGAAAATTTTTAAAATCGGACAATAACCACGCCCACATCCCATATAACGGTAATTTCGAGAAATACGAAATCCTCGATAAATCAGTAAATATTAAAGCTAATTTATTCAAAATGATGGTTGCAACAATTCTTTGCCAGGAAATACGTTTATGATAAAATTTTGGAAAATGGGCGTGGCACCGCCCACTTATGATCACGTATATGTATTTCGCTAACCGTTCTAGCAATTTGTACCAAAGCCGGTATGGTTATTGTGCTCGCCACATAAAAGTAAACCATTGAAAATTGTTGAAATCGGACTAAAATTACGGCCACTTTTCATATAACGGTAAATTTCAGAAATGCTTGAAATTTCAATATTTTGAAATTTAAGGACGCT